AGCTCAAAAGTGTTTTCTAAATTATTAACTTTTACTAAAAAAGTTCAAAACAACAAAACTGTAACAAATTTTATGACGAAGCTTTTAAGCTCTCTGATAAGAACAATTTAAAAAAAGGAGGCTGTGATACGTTTTGTCTCTATTACAAGGCTGTGGTTTCATTAAACAACAATAACAATAATAATAATAATAAATGTAATAATAATGGCAATCATTTTAACGAACGAATTCGGATGGATTATTTCGCATGAATTATTTATGCAAAAACTTTATAAAGAGACACAATGCTTGGATGTTAGTAAATCATACTCTTTAAACTCTAAACTATTTGATATTCAAATACCATTCGTTAAATCAAAAAAATTTAAAAGTACGAATGAGGAGAAACTTCCTATTGATGTAGAAGTCGTTAAAAAGGCTTACGATAACTTAAAAAAATTATTTACAATGCAATGTGATAATATTAGTTTCAAAATCAAAAACAATTACGATGCGAGGGTTATGGCAAATAATTTTTATGACACATTAATGCAGCAATCATTTAATAAATTTTTAGGAGGAAACACTTCTGATAAATCTCTTATTTTTAATTTTGAAAATGAACTTTATTTAATACCACCTAAAAGTTTATTTTATTGTCATGACATTAAAGATATTTCAAATCATCTTAGTAATAAAAAATATAATTTGATTTTAATGGACCCTCCATGGTGGAATAAATTTATTCGAAGGAAAAGAAAAAAAAATTTCAAATTTGGGTGAGTAAACCTATTATAAAAACGTAACAAAATATTATAAAATACTACTTACTAATTTTTTTTATAAAGGTATGACATGATGTACGATAAAGATCTATCAAACATTCCAATTAATAATCTCCTGGAAGAAAATGGAATTCTTGGGGTTTGGTGTACAAGTGCACCTTCTCACATTGAGGCCATATTAACTGAACTATTTCCTGCATGGAATGTAGAATTTATAGCTCAGTGGTTTTGGTTAAAAGTTTGTATAATTACACTATTTAATTTAAACTTGCAAAAGTCAAATAAAATTATTTGTGTACAAAATTAATCTGAAGTAATTAATGTAAAAATAATTAATTTTGTTATAGATTACAAAATTTGGTGAACCAATTTGTGATTTTTCAAATACATTGGGAAAACAGCCATTCGAGAGAGTTTTATTTGGAAAAAAACTTAATTTTGACAGAAAAATTCCTCAACCTGAAAAAAATAAAGTATTTATGAGTATACCTAGTGCCATACATTCACATAAGCCTCCTCTTTGTGATTTGCTGAAACCTTATCTTCCTGAAAACCCAGAGTGTTTAGAATTATTTGCCAGGTACTTACTACCTTCTTGGACAAGTTATGGAAATGAAGTGTTAAAGTTACAACATATATCATTATTTACTGACAAAAATTTATTGGATGATGGTTAATTTATAGAAAAAAAAGTAAGTATTTATAATATAGTATCTGTCTTTCGAACACAACTTAAATTTTTTTGATTTTTATTTATACTTACAAAGAAATTATTATCTCCTTATTGAAATGCAAAAGTTGTTTTTACTCGTTTTTTTATTCATATCTTTAATGTTGTGCCAACATATAGCAGTTGGCTTTGAACTGACTAAAATAAAAAAATTTTGCTGTACATTTCATTGTAAAAACAACTCGAGGCTTTCACCACAAAAATAAAAAATAATGAATTTTTTTTTTTTTTGTGCGAGCAACCATTTTAATTTATTTCAATAAATTATGATATTTTATAACTTTAACTGTCAATTCGATATTAAAAAAAAAATTTATCAGAAAAATTTTAGATATTTTTAAATAATAGTTTTACGTTTGAAATTATCAAACGTATTGAAATATTGCCTTCATTTAAAAAAAAAATAATTTTAATTTAAAGGCGCCATTTGTATATTTTTCCCATTTGTGACACCATTTTGTTTTCCTTTTAAACTTTTACTTTCAAAAGTACCACTTCTATATCCATTCGGGTTAAGTGTTTGCCACCTCCAAAAGTCAGCACCTGAAATATTTATTACAAATTTATATGTGTAAACGAATTTAAAATGAAAAAAAAAAAATGTTTCTTTTACTTACACATTTCAGCAAGTGTATATTTTGTTTTCCAACCTAGTTCTTCATAAGCCAATGAAGCATTGGCATACATTGCCACAATATCTCCTTCTCTTCTTTCTTTAATGACGAAGGGTATAGGAACTTTAGTCACGCTTTCAAAAGTTTTTAACAATTGAAGAACCGAGGTTCCTTGACCAGTCCCTAAATTGTAACTCTAAAATAAAACCCAAATAAAAATGTAAAACCTCACTAAAAATGTAAACAATCAATTATTTATTATTTTTATAATGCATACTTTTAATCGAATATGTTGATTTTTTAATTTGTTTAGTGCAGCAACATGGCCGCTTGCTAAATCCATTACATGAATGTAATCCCGAACTCCCGTGCCATCAACTGTGTCATAATCACCGCCAAAAACGTGCAATATAGGCAATTTTCCTATGGCTACTTGTGCCATAAATGGCATTAAATTTGTGAAAGGTTTTGTTGGATCTTCACCTATCAATCCAGACGGATGTGCTCCAACCGGATTAAAGTACCTCAATGAAATTATATTCCAGTTCTGTAAATACACATTTTAATTTATTTATAATTTAATAATAATAATTAAAATTTTAAAATTTTTTGATACCTTATCTGCTGCTGAAATGTCTTTGAGCATTTCCTCAATGAAATATTTAGTTTTTCCATAAACATTTGTCACATCTCCAATTTTATGTTCTTCTGTTATAGGTAGTTCTTCTGGATTTCCATAAATTGTGCAAGAACTTGAGAAAACCAATTGATAACATGCATGTTTCTTCATTGTTTCTAATAAATTAATTGTTCCAACCAAATTATTTTTATGATAAAGAAGAGGATTTTGCATGGATTCTCCAACTGCTTTCATAGCAGCAAAATGAATAACACAATCAATATCATGCTGAAAATTTAAATTTTATATTTTTTACAATTTCAAACGGTTTATTATTTTTATATTTAAGGTTTAAAATTTTATAATTAATATTAGAAAAAAGGCCGACCATTCGAAATACGTTGTCCAAAGCTGGCAAATCCAACAAATCACATTTATAAAATTTAATGGGTTTTTTGGTTATCATTTCAACTCTTTGCAAACTGGGTGCTTGTCCATCTTGTGTCGTGACCGAGTTGGCAAAATTATCAATGGCGACAACATCATACCCAGCTTCGTGTAATTCTACAATGCAATGACTGGCTATATATCCAGCTCCTCCAGTGACCAAAACAGTTTTCCAACAATTCATAATTATCTGGAAAAAAAATCCTAAAATTGTATTAAGAATACAAAAATGGCAATAAGAGAGAGAAATAGTCTGTCAGTGTCAAGATCATTCATAACTGATTTTTTTTTTTTTTACAAAAACTATGAAACTTTAGGTCAATGACTTAGTTTTACACCTAGACTTGTTTGTTTATCATGTTTGTTTGTTAACAAAACTATTATTATTACTACCTCACATTTTGTAAACTATTTATATGAAAAATATAATCGGTTATAAACAAATTCTTCTTTAAAAAAAAAAAAAAAACTTGTCAATTTTATCAACTCTTTTGTAATCCTTGATATTTTATATAGTTTATCAATATAATAGAAAACGTTTTATTAATCCATAGAATTTTATTAATTTCTCATTGATTTAAATTTATTCGAAGGAAAAATAACATTTAATTAAACAACCTACATAATTTTCCGTAATAAAAAAATATACAAAATAATTTCCCTATAAAAAGTTTTCCCGAGGTTTATATCAGCCAATAAACGATTTTAAATCCTTGATAATGACAGACATAATTTTTTTTAATTTATCCGCCATGCCCTTCAAATTTTTTAAATTCACGGTTAATTATAACTTATTTTATAATAATTTTTACATTTTATAAAATTATTATAATTTCTAAATAACTATAACCGTTAATTTTTTTTTAATTGAGTTATGTAAAAAAAAAAGAAAACCTAGTCAAACTACAAAATTTCTTTTTTTTTTTTTTTTTTATAATCATCAACATATATTCTTCTATCGTTAGAATTTAAAAATAACGGTTTTTTTCAAATTTAAATTATTTTTATTTCTTTTATTTTCTCTTAAATCTTTTTAATGTACACGTTTTAAAAAAATTGTTTATTGTTTTTATGTTTGTTATAATTAACAAAACATCACACAAATTAAATAATCGACGTAAAAATAAAAAAAAGAAAATTCAATTTTAATAACATTTCCCCTTTTTGAAAAAAGAAAAAAACGTTACGTAAAAGTCACGTGATATAAAAATTAATTTTTAAAAATGGAGATTTTACAACCAAAACAAAATAATATATTTAAATAATTTATAATCTTGGTTTTTTCCCACCATATTAAATATTTATATCGAATGGAAAATAGTAAAAAAAAAAAAACAACTTAATTAATTAAATATCACATCCGTATCCGTAATAATAATAATAATAATAAATAATTTATATACCTACGAACGAACAAACACATTAAATTTGAAAAAAATTTAAATTTGTTTTGCCTGATTCACGACGAGTCATCTTACACGAATAAAATTTTTTTTTAATGCGTCCAGTTATTCGATTTTCCTGAATTTAATTTAAATTTATTTCAAATTTTTTTGATTACGTGATGTCAGGTACCGCCATCACCATCCCCACCACTACCACCACCCTCACCACATCCTACATTTTTTTCTTAAATAAATAAATTAATTTTTAATCAACCCTGAAACCATTTTTAATAATGGCGAATGTCATGTCTTTCTCTCTCTCTCTTTCTCGATTTGGTATTTAAAATTGCGTAAATTGATTTACATATTACGCATATTTCACTCTTCATTTTTTATAAAAAAAAAAAAACCGTTAAAAAAATTTTATTCGTTATTATTTTTAACCGTTAATTATATCTGTCTCACGCATAATAATAATAATAATTGCGAAAAGTTCGTTACAAAATTAAAAGAGTAAATAAAAGTTTTGATGAAATGGCGCTCGGAGGTGGCGGTGGCGGTGGCGGCTTACCTTCAAATTTTTTTTTTTTTTTTAATAATCTTTTCACAATTTAAATTAATTAGATGAAAAAAAAAAAAAAAAAATGTCCCGTTTAACCTTTTCAAAAAAATGACCGTGACGTCACTTAAGAATTTCTTTTTTTTTTTTAATTGAATTCTTAACGTTTACGAAAATATTATTATTATTATCATCAATGATGATGATAATGATGATGATATTTTGGAAGAAGAAACGACACGAAATGCGTAGTTTTTAATCATTTTTTGTTTTTTTTTTTTTCCGCGAACGTGTTTTCCATTTTCCATATCTAACACTAAAATCATTATAAATCGAATTTTTATTATTATTTTAACGGAAAATTCAAGGGCAAATACGTGTCGTATGCTTATTGTCCTGATAATAATAATAATCATGAATTATTTTCGACTTCTCCAGTTAATAAAATATTATTTATTTATTTATTAAAGAAATGATTCACACTGGAATGAGTCAATATGAATTAATTCCCTGTCGTCGTTTTTTTTTTTTTTTTCTTTTTTGTTATTGCGTAAATTTTTTTATTTAAGGTATCACCATCATCATTTATTATTATTATTATTTTAACAACCGGATTTTGTAAAATACAATGAGGTTTTTTTTTAATTCCAAACAAACATTCGTGCAAAAGCATTTGTTTGTTTGAATTATAAAATTTAAAAAAAAAAAAAAAAAATTTTATTTCTTAGAAGTAAGTTTTATTATTATTATTATTGGAAATTAATTATTTGATGTTTTAATTGTTTTTATTCTTTTGTCATTTAAATAATTTTTTTTTAAATATTTTCTAAAATAGGCATCCATGTTTGTTTTTTTCCCCTCGAATGAATGAAGGTGTAGTAAATATACACAATGGAGAAGAAAATTTCAAAATTTCTATTTTATAATTTTTTTTAAAATAAATTAATTTAGAAAAATTACCTTTTACTACTTTGATTTTTCCTTAAATTGTTTTAAACAATAATTCAATCATTCAATTCATTCATCATTTGTCTCAAAATAAAAAAAACAAAAATTATAACCAAGATGTAATACTACCAAGAGATTCATTCAAAGTAACTATAATAATTAGTAATTAATGAATGAATGAATTATTATTATTATTATTAAATTAATTGTGAATGAATTTAAAAAACAATTTTTATGACATAATAGTAAAATTTTCATAATAAAACGTTTTTTAAAACGAAAGAGAAAAAAATAAAAAAAATTTTTTTTTTTTTTTTTTTAACTCTTCCCCTTTTCATTCCCTCCTTCCCTTCCCCCCCCAAAAAAAAGAAAAATTTACAAAAATGTTATTTACCTCTAACAAGTTTATGTTATTTATCCGTTAAAATAATCGAAAAAAAAATTTTAAAATACCTAAATTAATGGTAGAGAAAAAATAAATAAATAATAATAATAAAAACAACTACATGCTCACAACAAGAAGCGAATATTTAAACTGACTCGTTTTTTTTATAAAGGAAGGTAATCAACCAAAAGTCATCATCATCATCATCATCATTTTAAAGTTAAAAGGGTTCATTTGTGTACCTGTTTCGTCACATGTATTCTTCATTTCAATAACAAACGAGATTTCATTTTTTTTTTTTTTTTTTTACCAACAAGATTTGTGATAATTTAAAAAAAAAAAAAAAAAAATTTTCAAAACACGGATTATTTACAATTTAAAAATTTTTTTTGAAATTTAAATAAATAAATAAATAAGGTATAAGGTACGAAAGAAAAATCTTCTCCTTAAAAATATAAAAATTTACGATAATGACCTTGAAAATTCCAATGTTGGAAAATTGAACATCAGGAATTAATTTTTTATTATACCTCGTTTTTATTTTTATTTTTTTCTTTTTTCTTTCTGCGTGTGTGTGTGTGTGTGTGTGCGTGTGCGTGTGATAAAAATTTTTTTTTTTTTTTTTTTCAACCGGAAAAAAAAAAAAAAAAAAAAAAATCCTGACGATCCAAGTGGTATTGAACTCATGATTTCAATGACCAAATCCATAAAACGTGATGTCCTTGAGCAAAAATTACATTTTTTAAAAATCATTTTTTATGTGTACCTTTTTTTTTTTTTTTAAGGTTTAAAATAACAAACCCTTATTATTATTATTATTATTATTATTATTATTATTATTATTATTATTAAAAAATTATTTATTTAATAGAAATCGATTTAATAGATTTTAATTAATTTTTTAAAATGTCAAGGTCATAATTTAAAGGGAAGTTTTCTTTATCACCATCATTTAATTTTTATTCCCACGTGGTGATAATAATAATTTAATAAAATTAATAATATTGATGATAATAAAATTATTATTATTATTTTATTAAATATTATATTAAATGCGTAATGAATAAAAATAATAATAAAATAAATTAAGTAATTAATATTCTTGTTTTTTTTAATGTAACATATAAATAATTAGAATGAGAGAGAGAGAGAGAGAGACAAAAATAATAATGATCGTTGTACGAGTTTTATTAAATTACATAAAATTATTTAATAATTAATACGAAATTAATATAATTAAACTATTATAAATAAAAATAAAAACATTTTTAAATAATGTTTTTTTTTTTTTTTTTTTT